TGGTGATCCGGGACTGTTTCCTCATATTTAGGATTGGGCACTGGAAAGCCAGTAAGGTCTCACTTGAAGCATACGAGTGGGGCTTGTTTACGATTAGGCTTCACTAAGGCATGACCTCAGGGTAAGCGTGACTTCATTGGGAGATGCCCACATGTCAACATCTAGAGCTCTTTTACTTTTTTTTTTTTTTCCAAATCTTTTTAACCTCCACTTTATTTGTTATTTTCTGGGTGGAAAAGCATTAAAATCAATTTCTCCTTATTCTATAATTTTTATATATCTTTTTTTTATTAGTTTCATGTGTACAAAACAATGTAATAGTTAGACCTTTATACCCCTCACAAAGTGATAATCCCCCTCCCCCAATCTACTACCCCTCTGACATCATATAGAGCTGTTACAATTCCATGGACTCTATTCCCTATGCTGTACTCCATATCCCGTGACTATATATATATATAAAATTATAGTTGACATTCAATATTATTCAGCGTCAGCTTCAGGTGTACAGTGCAGTGGTCAAGCATCTACATCATCCATGAAGTGGTCTCCCTAATAAGACAAGTGTCCATCTGGCACCCCATAAAGTCTTTACTGTAGATTGGTGCAGCCACTGTGGAAATCAGTATAAAGGTATCTCAAAAAACTTTTTTTTTTCTTTTTGAGATGGAACTACCTGGAAATGGAACTACCTTAATGACCCAGAAATTTCACTCTTAGGTGTCTGTCCAGAGAAATCCAAAACACTAATTTGGAAAAATAGATGCACCCCTATGTTTATTGCAGCGCTATTCACAATAGCCAAGACACAGAAACCACCGAAATGCCCATCAGTAGACGACCAGATTAAGAAACGGTGGTACATTTACACAATGGAGTATTACTGGGCCACAGAGAGGCATTCGTTTTCTCCAGAGTAGCGGTCTCCCATCTCCTCAGGGGGTTGGCGTGAGGTGCGATTGGGAGTGGGTGGTTGGGTAGGCAGGGTTATTCCTGGTTTCTGTTGTTCCAGGAGCAGGAAGAAGTGGACCAGCCTTATGCTTTAACCCTAGCCCCTCCCTCCTCAGCCTGTTTTTAGGAACTGGCCTCTTTTTTTTTTGCAAGGCAAATGATTATTGCATGTATTTGGGCAGCCACTGATTGCTACTTTTCCACATGGTCTCCAGACAGGCAGACATTTGTCACAGATTGGAATAAGCCTGTCTGTGCTGACGGAGTGGAATGCAGGGTTCTCCGTTTGCATGTACCAGTCTCCCATTTAGTTCTGCCTCATTGGTGCTTTACCTCGCTATTTGATGGGAAATACTCTCCCCATAAACTTCAGTACGATGTAATGGATTTCTGTAGTGGAAATATTGTTCAAGCCACAAAACCAAATCACAGCAGGCACTTTGTCTTGGGACCATGTGTCTTGCGAAGCAGCCATTTAAAAAGCCAGTTGTATGAAGCCACCGACAGTCACAGCTAATTCACTTTATAGGACGTTTATTTGTATGTATGCAGAATCACACCACCAAACAGAATCATTGCGCTACAGGACTCCGGCATTCCATATCTGTCAGCATGTTTGTAAATAACCTGATTTACCGGGCCTCTTCTTTGGGTTAGGAAATGGTGGAATTGGGGTAGATTCAGATGATGTTCTTTGAAGGCACTGGGGCATTATTATGGATCTTTCAAGAGTGCCCAGCTGCTGGTGGGCTAGTAGTGACGCAGCCTGAGTGTGGTCACTTGTCGAGCTGGCTCGGGTTAGATCCAGGCCCACACTGGGCTGATCCCCCACCCCTTGGGCCAGGAAGGGTTGACAGCAGAGTCCAATGAAAGCCATGTCATGCTCCTACAGGAATCTGATGGCCGCTCTGGGAAGGCTCTCAGCCTCCAAGGCCCTAATCAGAGGTTCTGGGTCTCAGGTGTACATGGGACTCATGTGAGTGCACTTTGAACCCAGGTGCCCAGGTTGCACCCCTAGACCAATGGAATCAGGATCTTTGGGGTGAGACCCAGCAGCAGCAGTTTGTAAAGCTGCTGAAGGGAGAAGGGACGGTACAAACTACTGCTAAATTTTTTGTTGTTTTGTTTTACTCCCGTTGCTGCTACCTAAGCAAAGAAACTTATTTAAAATGATTATTATTTTGCACTAATTTGTATCTGGGGGGAGTGAAAATAATTCATATCATAGTCACTTCATTTCACTCTTTTATGTTTGTGGTGTGATGGGGGTAGATTTCTCTCTCTCATGAAGTAGAAGTCAAGGGCGAGTCTCAGAACTCAGAGTCCAGACACCCGGGGATATTCTTCCAATACATTTTGCTTCTATGGAAAACATGGTGGCAAAGACCATGGCAGGGTTTGTGGGCAGGGCTGGGCACTGGCGCTGTGACCTCACCAGGGTCCCATGTCTCTCCTGGTATGCATAGGTCCTGTGGCTGTCATCAGCGGTGAGGAGGACTCTGCCAGCCCGCTGCACCACATCAACCATGGTGTCACCACACCCTCGTCGTTGGATGCCGGCCCGGACACCGTGGTCATCGGCATGACCCGTATCCCGGTCATTGAGAACCCCCAGTATTTCCGTCAGGGACACAACTGCCACAAGCCAGACACATGTGAGTACTGGGGTCGAATGTTGTCCCTTCTGGGGAGGGGAGGGAAGGGTGGTATGGCGATAGACCATGTAGCTGGGGTTCTGGAAACTTCCGGGGTGACCTACCACCTGCTAACCTCCCACTCTCTAAGAGACCCTCCCTGTTCATCTCAAAACCTGAAGAACAGCCTGGGGGCGCGAGGCCCAGCTACTTGGGGAGAAGTGCTCCCGGTATGACAGGGGACAGGCAAGGCCGGTCTTCTCTGTGGACCTGGCCTGTGATTCAGGAAATGTAACCTGACTTTGTCCAGACGACAGCCCCTGAGGTCCTCAGACCCTCGCTGAAGCCCCCACAAGAGGGAAGGGAATAAAGGGCGGTGGGCACCATTTGAAAGGAAACACCTCCTCAGCTGCTCCCCCAGCGCCCCGAAGTGCGTGCTTTCTGAGACGCTGGTCATGGCCCCCACGCTAGGACCCCTCACCTCCCCACTGCAGGACTCCCTCAGATCAGAGCTCAGGGCATCTGTTTCATCTTCGTCTCCCCCCTTCTGTTGGTTCCAGACCCTCTCTTTGTATTTCTGCTGAGCTCTGTTCAGGCCTCTCCCAGCTCCCAGAGCCTCTGTGGCTTGGTCCTCCAACCAGCAGGCGTTCTCCTTGCTGTGACCCCAGGTTCAATCCAAGCCCATCAACCCTGGTGCACACCCCCTCCCCTTCCACTGCCCCTGCCCCTGCACCAAATGTCAGCTACTTCAGAAGGCAGCACAGAGGCCCCTGGAAAGTGCCTTAGAGTTGGAAGGGACAGACAGATGGCCAGGTTAAGACCTCATCTTTCAGACAGGAAAGCCGAGGTTCCAGGAGCTGTGGGTCCCCCTTCTCTGCCCCCACGTTTCTGTCAGTCGGCTCTCTTGATCTCTCGCTGGACGCGGTTTGGCCTAAGAAGAATCACCTGCCTCTGGTCTTGCTCCCCTGGGCTGAGCTTTCTGTGCTTGGGCCCCACTCTTCGTAGCTCACAGATTGTCGCTGCTCCCACTGGTCCATCTTACAACAGCGTGGGTACTTGACCACCTCATCGGTCTTGGCTTCTGCTTTTCTGGTTCTGATTTTAGTGAGAGGATTAACCACCACAGTGGGAGGAACTGGGCTTGAATGAGAATCAGGTCATCATTTGCCTCCCAACCTTGGGCTTCCTCCATACTCTGTCTTGGGGATTATCAGATGCCCCCGTCGGCGAGAGGAGAGACAGCTGGGCTCTGGACCAGGGCCGGGCAAGGGCAGAAAGATACCTGTGTTTCTGATGAAGAGTGGGGCATGCCATGCAAAGAATGGCTCTGCTCTCTCTCTCTTGCCTCAGGTCAGGTTTGCCCTGGACTGCCCTGGTGTGGCTGGGAGGAAAGCCCTTCTGTGATGGTAGCATGGGTCCAAGCTTGGCCTCAGGCTCAGTTTCTAGGTGACGTTGGTCTTTGAACAGAGACTTCGGCGTTGCTGTGTTGAGTATACAGTTGATTCTTGTCGTTCGCGGTAGTCACGTTCTGTAGTCACCATAGACACTGAATACACGACCTGTTTCATGCACGATTCTGTGTAAAGGCATCGCATAGATATTTGTGGTTCAGTAACGTTGGACTCAGGGCCAACAGCACCTGACACATGCCTGAACGAAGCCAATCGAACACACGTGTCTGACTGAACACGTGCATTTTCTCCATGACATTCTTCCCTGTAGAAACACTAGACAGCACTTTAGCACTATGCTTGGCGGCCGTTTTCAACTGCAAAATCACCAACATAAAGCACAAATATGCAAAAAAAAAAAAAAAGTGAAGTGGCACTAAATGGGCCACAGGCAGGACACGCGCTGACAGCGTGGGAGCTGAAACCAGAAGGTGCGGTCGCCCTGGTCAGTCTCAGCCTGGAGCATGCGCGTTGGGTGGTTCACATTTTTTATCCCTTCTCGCATGTTTGTGAATGACCATGAAAAGTGCCGTCAGTATCGGTTTCGGGGTCACACATAAACTTCAGCGAGTAGGCGAATTTGTATTCCCAGCATCCATCCCCAGAATCCAGGACTACTGGGGATGGACTGTGTGCCCTTCGGGGACGCTCTGGGCTCCTGGTGTGGAGCACGACCTCTGGGTCACATCTGTGCTCCCGTGAGCTCCTGATACCAGGCCGTGAGCACAGCCGCCGGGTGGGAGGCGCCTGGCACGTGGGTAGGAAGTTTCCTCGGAGCCGTTGGAGTAAGTGAGAGCCCTGGAGAGCACTGTGGGCACTGAGAGTCCTCTGATGTCAGGACCCAGCGCCCAGGCAAGGAGCTGTTGCCCTAGGAAGGCACGCAGAGGAGAAGCCTGCCGCCTGCAGCTCCAAACGGCTGTGATTCCAAGTGTCCTTTCCAAGGGTTCAGACAGCACTTCTGTGTAAATATGAAGGGGAGGCGAGGGCAAGCGGGTTTATTGACTAAGACTTGAAGGAACAGGGAACAAACAGTACTTATAGGAAGAAAACCACGAGATGGCTCCAGGTTGTCAGACCCCTCTGATATGCGTGGGCTGCTGGCCTTTTCAGGGAGCGCTACGTTTTGTCCTGTCAGTGGACAGTGGACGGCTCTTAATTGTTTTCAGAAAACACATGTGGCCACGACAAGCCATGTGCAGAAGCCTTGTAACTGGGTTTGGCTGGTCCATGGCTGCCTCCCGCAGCCTGGGAGACGGAGCTCTGGCCCGCCCCCACGAGATTTACAGGCCGAGAGGCAGCAGGTCTCTGATTACAGAGGCTTCATCGGTCCAGGGAAGTGACTCCAGGACACATCCCCGTCTGTGATGAGACACTACCATAAATAATTAAAACCTCATGAGCCTGGGCAGATAAATAAGCAGAGAACATTTATGACGCTGCAGATAAGGCCAGGATCACTCCTTTGGGGGGACAGCAAGAAATGAGGTTAAGGGAGGAGAGATGCTCATATTGTGGGTCCCCCTAGGGGCCCCCCACAGGCTCTCCCATCTGATTCCCCTTCTTGTCCATTTAGGATCGGTGGTTACCAGAGGGGAAGGGGTTTGGGGTTGGGAAAAACGGGTGAAGGGCGTCAATTGTATGGTGACGAGTGGTAACTAGACTCATTGTGTGATCACGTTGTAGGGTGTACAAATACCGAATTATTAGGTTGTACACCTGGAAATAATATAACGTTATATACCAATGGTACCTCACGGAACAACGTGTAATGTGGGGAGAAATCGCACGGTGCTGCCTGACTTTAGGCATTATTTCCCCACGTCCCCCAGGGATGAATTTAGCACAGAAGCACGTTTCTTTGCCTGCCCATGTGTTTGAAAGAAATGGCAGCACACCTTTTGGACCGGAGTGATTAGAATGCTGCCTCCAGCTTTCTCTCTGTCTCCAGTCTGGTCCCTGGCACTTTCCATAGCATGTCAGGGCCGCAAGGATATTTAGAGCTCACCTACTGCGCTCCCTCCCTTATTAGGTGCTTGCATCCCCACGCCCACGTTCACAGCAGTGCTCTGAACTTGACGTTGACTTTATTCTGAGCTTATTCAGCCTTTCCAGGGATTCTGAAAGCGCTGAGTGCAGATGCTCCAACTGGGGAACGTGTGTGGAATCTGGAGCCTAATGAGCCCCCCTCATTATTTATTTAAAGTCCCCTGGTTCTCAAAAGCATCGGGAAATGGATACGTCCCTCCTTGTCACACAGCCAGTTTGGGGTTAGAACCTACAGAATGAGACACCCAGGGGCCGGTCTAGATGAGTCACTGGGGAGAATTACGAGGTATTTGTAGCAACGTTGGGCCCTCGGTTACCTTTGTCACCCTTGTGACAGCCCTAGTCTGCATAGCTGTGCACACGCTGGGGCTGGACCGCTGGCTCTGGTATCGCCGGCTTTCCCACAGGCCAATTGGAAGGCTCCTCGGCTCTGTTTAAGGCCCCGGGGTTCTCTGTTCATCCTGTTTTCCAAAACCCAGAAGACAACTTTGCCTCTTGGTCTAGAGAGCAAAGGCCATCTGGGGAGCGACCCTGTCTTCTCCTTCTGTCCCCCGCTGTGTCCCCAGGTCAGGGCTTCTGCCTTTATTTACAGGTTTTTCTCTGCCTGGGAGGAAACCGTGCTCCAACCCTCCCAGAGTCAGCCAGCCCTCAAGGTCCTCTCCCTCTGATCTCTGCCCCTCCTCGTGGGGCTGCAAACAGGGGCCTCCTCCGACTCTGGCCAACCCATCCTTTCCTCACCCCAGCCCCCAGGTACTGTGTGCTTGCTCCTACCGTTCACCCCCAAACCCCTTCGGGTTCCCTGTCCTGCAGCTCCACCCCTGAGCTCTCATCCCTGATCTCTTTGCAAAACTGGACCGTGTTCCTTTGTGTCTCTTCTCTTGGTTAGCGCCCAAGTCACTCACACGGTGCTGGCTTTTCTCCCGTTCATCTATTCAATAAATATTTATTGAGGGTTTGTGTCAGGCCTTCTCTTAGGCTCTGGAAACATCGGGGTACAAGAAATGCGAGGCCCCTACCCTCAGGGGCTTTCTGCCGACCTTCGACCTTCGTCGCTGATCTCTGCACTGCAGGATGGCACCCTCCCTCTGCTCCCTTGGGACTGCTCATGGGGCCTCCTGTTTTCTATTTTGACTTATCCTTTGATGAGTCACTAGCCTTTATCCCTCATCCCTTCTTCCCAGATCTCCAATTCCACACCCCCAACTGCCGCATTAGTGTAATTCCTGTGGGAACGCCCATCTGCCCTCCAGGCATGGCCCCACACCCTTTTCTTCCTTTCCGTATCTATTTATCATTCAACACCTGGCTCCTTTCCAGCCTCCTGGGCCCATGCTATCGAAGTGACCTTTCCCTCCTGGTAGCCCATGGCTTAGAGGAAATGCCTTGCACTTGTCTTGAACGACTTTGAGTCAAATCTTAGCTCCCCCTGTCACTTCTCCAATGTGTGTTTCTTGTTTCCCAAACCTGACTTGGCGCTTATTCCAAAAGTAGCTCGTCTGTGTCATAATTCTTCATTTTCTGTAG